GCGACCCGGACCTATGGATACATTGTTGCAGCCACACTCCAATGTATCCTGGATGTTGCTAAGCGACCCGGACATATGGATACATTGTTGCAGCCGCGCTCCAATGTATCCTGGCTGTTGCTAAGCGACCCGGACCTATGGATACATTGTTGCAGCCACACTCCAATGTATCATGGCTGTTGCTAGGCGACCCGGACCTATGGATACATTGTTGCAGCCACACTCCAATGTATCCTGGATGTTGCTAAGCGACCCGGACATATGGATACATTGTTGCAGCCGCGCTCCAATGTATCCTGGCTGTTGCTAAGCGACCCGGACCTATGGATACATTGTTGCAGCCACACTCCAATGTATCATGGCTGTTGCTAGGCGACCCGGACCTATGGATACATTGTTGCAGCCACACTCCAATGTATCCTGGAAGTGACTAAGTGACCCGGACATATGGATACATTGTTGCAGCCGCACTCCAATGTATCCTGGATGTTGCTAGGCGACCCGACATATGGATACATTGTTGCAGTCCTACACAGCGAGCTCAGAACTCGGGGTGTCAGTCACTAAGGGCACAGGACCTGTAAGGGCAGTGGAATCACTAAGCCCCCGAAATGCTGCAGGGAGCTCCCACTCGCCCCTGAACGACTCGATAGCGCCCCAAAGTCGTCCCTTAATGTCATTCCATGAAACTGCATCCCAGGCCAGGCAGGAAACGCCTCGCTGCGCCGAGCGGGGGCGCTTCTCGTTCCAAGAGCGCAGAGATGGCCGGAACTAGTTTTGTGCAAACCCGCTTGCATGTCAGCTCTCTGGGCTGCAAGGCGAAGCCAGCAAGCGCTTGGGAGACCGGAAACGGGGCTCATGGCCAGGATGCAAAAAGCTAGGGATGTTGGACGCCTCTCACCTGGCTGAGCGGGTGGAGAGTTTGCTATCCGCGAGGAGCGCATGCCCACAGCGCAGGGACCGGGCCGCGCGCTTCCGTATCGCACTTTTTAGCAATTATGTGAATTGCTTAAAAAAAAAAAAAAAAAAAGACTGCTATTTAGCCCAGCCCGCCTGGCATGGCTCAGAGGTTGAGCGTCCACCTAGGAGCCAGGAGGTGAGGGTTCGAGTCCCGGTCAAGGGCACAGGCCCGGTTTGTGGGCTGGATCCCCAGTAGGGGGCGTGCGGGAGGCAGCCGGTCCGTGATTCTCTCTCATCATGGATGTTTCTACTAATATATCTCCCTCTCCCTTCCTCTCTGAGGTCAATAAAAATATATTTTTTGGCCTGCGGACTGAAGGGTCCCGGGTTCGATTCCGGTCAAGGGCATGGACCTGGGTTGCGGGCACATCCCCAGTAGGGGGCGTGCAGGAGGCAGCTGGTCGATGTTTCTAACTATCTCTCTCCACACGGGTCGAACGTACCCAAGGGCCACCTGGCAATAACGAAGCGCTTCTGGTTTTGTGGTCTCCCCCCGGCCCCCCCTTTTCTCCACTCCGCAGGTCGCCAGGGCCCACGCCCCCCGACAAGATGCCACGCCCCCGCGCGCCCTGGCGAG